ATATATATATATATATATATATATATATATATATATATATATATATATATAAACTCAAAGAAGGTTACTTTTTTTTTTCCTTTTTTCTAATTTAAGAAAAAAAAAAAATTTAAATTATCGTTATTAAAATCTATAAATACTGTAAATCTTTATAATCAATTTTTTATAATATAATTGACTTTTTTATAATATAATTGAATTAAAGACTTGAGTCCTTTCCAGACGAATAAGGTATGCATTAGTAGATAATTTTCAAATATAATATTTTTAAAGGTAGTTTTAAAAATAATTCGCTGTTTGTTCATTATTTAAAAGTAATAATTTTAGTTTATGTTTAAACTGTTCAAGAGTTGTATGTGTTTTAATATCATTACTAGTTATTTTATTACATACAATAGATTCTCAAATAGTTATTGAGAATTTGGTGAACTCATATATAGTTTTGGGTTGAACAAAGTTGTTACTTGAATATTTAGTCACGTATTTGTGTTGAATTTGAAAAAAATGATGAAAGAAGATGATGTATATTTATTTGGTACAAGTTTAATATTTCTAGATTGTTAAACAATGGTTTTGAATGCGAGAGCGGTGTGCATTTGATAATAATCTAATTGCATGTTTTTGTTTGTTAAATAACTTTTTTGTTTTTGTTTTATTGGTGCTGTACCAAGCAATGTTTGCATAATTAAGATAGAAATGAATAAATGAATAATATATGTATTTCAAACATGATTGATCTTTATAGAGTATTGATTGATAGAGGATTGAGTAATCCGATATTTGTAGAAATTTTATTTTAATCATGTTTATGTGGTCTTTCCAATTTATGTTTTCATTTAGAATTACACCTAAAAACTTTATATTGTAAAAACGAACTAACAAATGTAAAGTAAAATGTTTGAAAAAAAAAAAAAATTCGGTCATAGTTTTTAACCCCACTTTGGTCCAATATATTTGTCTATTAAAAATTATTGTGAAAAATCTGTTCCACTCATATTACATAACAATCTTGCAAGAAAAAGTAACCAAAAAAGATTTTGATAAAATTGTGTACATCTTTAGATGCGTTGGCTAGAGTGTTTCAATATTTTGGTGATTCTGGTACCTGCTACAGTTTTCATTTTACTCAAAAAAAATTACTGCCGTTTTTTTCTTTTAATTTTGTAATTTCCTTCATGTATATGAAGTTGAATATTCATAATATTGCTAATTACTCAAAAAAAAATTTCAGGGGTTTTTCCACCCTAAACAAAAATATAGCTTAATCATATTCTTACTATTTAAGGACGTCTGCAACTACCACTCCTTAGAAAACAACGACAATTTTAAAAACCAGATATAACCAGAACGAAAAAAAGACAGATTTAAATTTATGTTTTCAAACCTTTTAAAAAAATTTACGTAACTAATAAGTGATAAATAAAACAGTATAAGTACATAAAAAATTTCAGCAAGAAAAAAAAAAAAAATTTTAACATCTTCTAGCGGAGTAATTTTAAAAAATATAATAAGACAAAAGTAAGATAATCATGAAAGTATATTTTCTATTTGTAAATAAATTTTCAAATAGAAAATATACTTTTCTATAACAATTTAACTGTTGATGATATCATCGTGTGCGTGAGGAGTTTTCTTGTCTAAACGAGCGCAATTTCAGTTTGATTTACAAAAAAATAGGACTGTCAGCTAGAAAACTAGAAGCCATTTCAGCCTCTAGTCTTCCAAGAAAGTAAAAAATAACTCAATAATAAACGATTTCACAGGATAGCCAGAGGCAAAAGAAGCTTATCATCCGATTATTGCGGATGGGCATCACAATCTACCAAAAAGTGTTGCTCGAAAATTACCATATTTTCATAAGAATCATCTTTACAGCAGACGCTACATTATCTAAATAATTTAAATAATTTGTAATGTTGAGAATGATGAAAACATCAATCAAGAATGCTATAGCCGTTTTTCAAAAACGCCTTAAGGTAAAAAAAATCAAATTTGACTTTTTTGCAAAATAGGCTAATTTAGATGTCTACAAATGTTATCGAATATATATTTTTGAAGAACTATGAATAAATTCGTAAAAACTGTTTTTTCAAACAACATTTTACAAAGCGTTTCTAGAATTAATAAAAAATTTTTTTGTTTTTGAAATACGTAAAAAGCATTTTAAGGCGTTTTAAAAAACAGCACAAATGACTGGCTCCTAAAAAAAAGCAAAAGCAAAAAGGACTATGTTCCTCAAAAAACCGACTATAACTTGAAAATCACTTTATTTGGGGGAGTGTAACACCCCAAAACACACCCGTACAATCTCCTGTATATATATATATATATATATATATATATATATATATATATATATATATATATATATATATATATATATATATATATATATATACATATATATTGAGCACAATAAAATTTAACACCTTTTAATTGTTAATGACACGAAAATTTTGATTTAACGGAGCTAATTAACTATTTTTTTATTTCTATAATTTTTTACATTTTTTGTTGGACCCAAAAATAGAAACTGATTTTTTTTGCGATTACTTTACATTATCTGCTAGATCTTACTTTGTGTTTAAAGTTGTAATCCCATTTTTTTTTAAATCTTTTTTTATCTGAAATCAATTTCTTGCATTTCAAAAAGATTCCTTTTATAATTGACCTATAACTTTTAATATCTCGCTGGTTAGGTCTCGCTGGTTAGGACAATATAAAAGGTTTGCTTCTTAAGGTACAAACCAACGCTTTTTTGTTCATACCACTCTAGAGACTTTTTGGAATAGTGGATTGTGATTGGGTGAGAATTCTAGCCAAATCAGGCCATATAATTGTTGGTATATCATGTTTTTTACCAAAAATGGCAAAAGGTATTTTTTTAATCTTTCTTTTATATATAAATTCGGGTTTAAACTTTTACAATTAGTGTATGTTACAAGAGTTTACATACACTATGTCATGTTATGTCATTGTTATGTCATGTATGTTATATTTTTCAAAACACAGAAACTGATTAATTGTTCTTAACCTTTCTCTTAACCTAACCAGCGAGTCCTAACCAGCGAGTCCTAACCAGCGAGACCTAACCAGCGAGATATTGAAAGTTATAGGTCAATTATAAAAGGAACCTTTTTTTTATTTCCAGCTTTGCTTTCAATAGATTGAGTCTGTTTATATTGCTGCAACATAAATCCTGAGGATCGAAAATCATCGGTCAATTTTGAAATGTCAACATGTGTAAATAAAAGACTTTGAAGAAAATTAAAATTTTTTTTTTCATTATTTAATATTTGTTTACTCACTTTAATTCAATAACAATGATAACCAATACTTATTACCATTACAATCAAGTTTTCTTAAATAAATTAACATAGTTGAATTACTCAAGAAACCATTCACTCAATGATAATTTATTGAGAGAATTAGTTTGAAATAAAAATCTTTTGTATACACCCAGTGGGCACCCGACGTCAATCCGACGTCGGATTTACGTACGATTTTCATCAGTGATGTCAAAAGACCTATTCCGACGTTGTTCCGATGTCAGTAAAATGACGTCGGGCGATGTCTTTATCTCAACATCCCCTGACGTCGTTTCGATGTATTTTGATGTTGTTCCGACATCTTATAAAAGACGTCCAAAAAACATCGCAGTACTGACATCGATCCAACGTCGATAAAAAGACGTCGGGCAACGTCATCATATTAACGTACTCCGATGTCTTTTGACGTCTTCCGACGTCAATCCAACGTCCTTAAAACGACGTCGGAACAACGTCGTAAGACATCGCTGATGAAAATTTAATCCAAACCCAACAATATGTGTGCAATTGCGCTCTTCAATAAATATGTGAACTAAGCGTGTTTTTTAATAATGGAAAGAAGTTTGAATAATGGTTGATAAAACATCATGAGGTTTTGTATGATGCACTAGCATAGTTTTTTAACTATTAACATTTTCGAGTATACATTTTTTATAATATAAAACTATTCGTTTTAATATTTATATAATATTTAAACAAAATTAAGAAATAATTCCCAAATAGCTACAAGTATAAATTACTAAATAAACAAATATTTTAATATGTCCCTGTGGTGTAGTGGTAAGCGCGTAGGAATTAGTTTCTAATAGACCGACGTTCGTCTCCTGCCTATGGCAACGTTTTTTAGTTTTCAAAAAACACGTTGTGTTTACATCGGAATGCCGACGTCGCGCGATGTCAGTTTATCCGACGTCAAATAACATTTCCATTTCCAACGTAAACCCAACGTCGATCCGACGTCGAGATCCGACGTTGCTCGACGTTCGTTCGACGTCGAAATGCCCACTGGGCATAAGTATCCTTTAAACTTCTATTTGCTTTGTGTTGTTGAAATACAAGCGCTTTGTTATTAAAAATTTTGGTGAACTACTTTGTATGTGCTTTCCCAAGGTCCGTTTTACTCAAGGTTTTTCGTTGAAATTTTTATGTCTTTATCTTTAAACTACATTTGTGTTAAAATTTTAACTTTGCAAAAGAGCGCCACCTCCCGGCAATCCAGGCTCAGTATTTTGGACAGGACCAATATTGAACCACCTAAATGTTGCTACCAATTTGATTATCAAATGCTATTTCTATTTTTAAAAATTTTCTCTCATTCCTTGGTTGCATTATAAAAACTCTCAGTTCAAAGTATATTTTATATACTGTAGTAGATAAAAAGTATAACTGTGTAAAGGTGAACTAAGAGTTATTATATTAAGGATCTCAGTATACTGACAGTTACTGGCCAGAATTTAAATGTCTTTTGGTGTAAACCTTTAACAAATAAGAAAAAAATGAAGTTCAATAATTTTGTTTGTTATTTTTTTTATTATTATATTATTACATAATGCTATCAGTTATACTATTTATTTTTACATTCTATTGTATTATATCCTTTATAAATAATTATCGTGGACAATTAAATTTGTTATATCATTTATCTCACATAGTTTCTTGTTTATTTCCAAGGAACTTATCAAGGTCTTTCTCAACAAAGAGATTGGCTGCAACCCTCTGCGTTTAGTGAAATATTAGAGACAAAAGTTATGCATTTTGAAACTTTTCAAACACACACCTTACATGATATTCAAAAAAGTAAAAGATTAGTGAATCTATTTCCATGTGTCATAAATGCTGATTGTGGAATGTGGTTTAATGGAAGCTTTATCTCACAAAATGGTAAAAATAGTTCGCCTACTTTTTTGCCAATGAGAAAGAGGAATGGGACTTTATGGATTTATGGTGATTCACTTGGAAAACGACTTCACGATTATGTTAAAATAAAGCCATTATGCCAAGAATTATTTTTAACTTGCAATTATACATACAATTGGGTATACCCTTTAAAAGAAAATTCACATGGTTTTAAAGAAGATTGGGTGTTTGACGATCAAGATTTTAATCAAACATTGCATTTGAATTTTATTAAAAATGTTATAATGAACTCTTATATGAGAAAAAAAGAAAGCGTTTTACTTATCAATTTCGGACTTCATCTAGTAAAATCGTTACCGATGTCCAAATTAAAAAACTTATTTAATGAATTTATTATTATGTTAAAAGAACTTAATACAGATCCATTGAAGTTTCCAATTGTTATATGGAAAACTACAACGCCGCCCTATCAATCTCATGAACCGAGTAAAAATTTCAGAGTAATGAGGTTCCTAACAAAACAGGTAATTAAATTTAAATATTATATTAGTTATTGTTGTATATACATAGTTATATATAGTTATGCGATATAAATACTAATAGTTATCTAATAAATGATCATAGTTCCTTAAATAAAACTAATTCATTAATAACTTATTAGCAGTAACTACTTGGCTTAAAATACACAAAATCTCAAATTTAATTTTATTAAGAATAAACACCCGGTGGAAAATGAGCTAGCAACTAGCAAGCAACTAGCTAGCTTTATAGCAATTTTTAAGCGATTTTTTTTTTTCTTATTTTATTTTTTCCTAATGTTTTTTACAGCTTTAAAAATTTGATTTTTAGTCTATTAGAATTATGAGAATTGAACTTAAAACATTGGGATTTTGTAGCAATGTGTCGCTATCTACACATCGTAGCTTTTTAGCTAGCTACAAAAATATCTTCAAATCTATAGTTAGTCTTTACTTTATTAAGCTAGATGTCCTCGTAGCCAAATCGCTGTCTTTATCTTTACAAATATCGATAGCTTTTCGCTAACTTAAAAAAGCTAGCAATCCTCGTGGCGAAATCGCTGTTTTTATCGTTACGATTTCAGCTAGCTATTCGCTAGCCGATTTCCCACCGGGCAAATTCAAACAAAAATGAAAATGTTTGTTGGAAAGATTAAACATATTACAGACATTTAAACAAAATATAGCTTTCAAAGGAATAGTTTTTAGACTCATGAAGAACAATAAAAATTTAAGGTCATTATTAACTTAGATTATTATTAAAATAACTTACTCCGAATAAAAAATAAAAAAGTCTATTTTCAAAATGGCTGGATAGCTCAGTTGGTTAGAGCGTCAAAGGAAAAGATAAAACCCGGACTGTTGAACGATACGAGTTCAAATCCCGCCACCGCCAACAAAGCGCTTGAGTAGTAGTAGTACTTCGGTACGCAAAATGTTGGTCAATAACGGACGCTACTTTGAATTAGTCTTAATTACTATTTGTGACTGTTCCTATGCTAAGCCAACAACATCTTCGGATATGAGAACATTGTATAGAAAAATATTGCATGAAAATTCAAAAAAATAAAAAATAAAGATGATACAGCAAAAAAAAGTTAAACGAATAATATAAACAACAACATAAATAAAAATAATAACTATAATTAAAAATCATCGTTTATTGTTAATTCGATGCAATTGATAATTAAATGTAGTTTTAGCCGTTAAATTGCTAATAATTATTCGTGCCATGTAATGTAAAATGTAAATTAGCTACAGTTTAGTTTTTGAACTCTGTACTTTTTTATTTTATAAATATTAAATGCGTTTTTTTTATTGACACATATTATATTAACGATAATTAATTATTATTGATATATATTGTTAATATTATTGAAAAAATTAGTTAATTTAATTTTTCAATAATATTAATAAAAAAAACGATACGATAGTTGCTTTAAAAACAAGTTTGTTGGTTACAATTTTAAGTAAAAATAGTTTTCTTTTTAACCTGGTTTTAAATGGCTGTTTTTTTAACCTAGTTTTAAATGGCCGTTTTTTTAACCTAGTTGCAAATAAAAACTAAAATAGTAAGCTTAAACTTCTTTTTTGAGATGAAAAAAATCAACAACAATAATAAAAATAAATTAACAGCATTAAAAAAAAAAAAAAAAAGAAAAATTCAAAATACTTAAAAAAACTGATTTATATATATATATAAAATTTTTTTTAGAAGTAAAAGAAAAAATATTTTTTGGATATTTGAAATTCGTATATTTAAATAACACAAAGGTTTGTTTTGTCAGAGAAAAAAAAAATATCTTTATATTCGAGATATGCCAAAAATTAAAAAAAAAAGATTTAAAAAAAATTGTTAGAAAAATTAATTCAAAACATCGAAAGCAATCAGTCAATTAATAAGTAACTGAATAACAGGCGTAACTGTAATAATGATGATGGTAAAAATAATGATCAAAATGATGAAAATGAGTATGCAATGGCAATGCAAGAGCAGGTATATATTATAAAATATATTATAAAATTATTTAAAATATAATACTGCCATAGGTAGCTAACTGAAAATAAAATAGAATTCTCAGGTTTTCAAATATACTTATTTTTCTATTATTAATAAATTATTTCTTTCATTAGTGCATTTGTTTACTCAGATGTCTTTCATTATCGATGCTGCTTTAAAAAGTGACGGTTAGATAGATATGTTATATAATAACATTTGGTACCTGGGTATAGTTACCAAGGTAAATTTTAATATTTGGTTTATTCTGGAAAGTGTGGAAGTTATTCTTTACCAACTTACTACTTATTAACATTCTTCTTGGAGAAGAATGTTAATACGTGGTAAGTTGGTAAGATATTATTAGTTATATAAATCATTAACGTTTTTATTACTATTTATTTTGGCAACAATTTTTGACCAAAAATTTATTATTACTTAAAACTGGTAGTTTATTATTACTTAAAATTGTATAGTGTATAATTAGCTAAAACAATAGCCTAATTTTTTTCTAAATAAAAATCCTACGAAATTTTCAAAATTAAACATATAACTGATAATTTATTTTTTTAATTTTCATTCACTCCCAACAAGGCTGCAAGCAACCACTATTAAGTTCGGATTTACTAGGAAAAAAAAGAACAGAGTTATAGAGCAAGGATTCCAAAGGATTGAAGTGCGGTGAAAAAAACTAGATGAATAAAAGTTTTTAGAGCATGCAGGGACAGATACAGTAAACTAATGAGACTTAGCTGAATGACGAGTAAAACGAGAATGAATTTTAGTTGATGGAACTAGAGATGATAACTCCTTTGAGCAGTGACCATGATAGTATTTGTAGAAAAGAGAAAGAGATGCAACTTTACGACGATGGGAAAGAGATTCAAGTTTAGCAGATAGTCCAGGTCCAACAACATTTACAATGCGTTTTTGGACCTTGTCAAGAAGAGAAAGTGAATCGTTAGAAGAACTAGCCCAAATATGACAACAAATACAATATAACAAGTATGATAAAACAATACATGTACAGATTGTGGCATAAATATGAATAAGTAATAATGCAACTTTTTGCTGGTAATTGTGGCCAATTTGCTGTCTTTATTCTCATGAGTTGTTGGTAGCTAGTTTCAATTTTCTTTAGCTGGCCATTTACATTGCTATAGCATTATTTTATTCGTTTTAAATATCGTTAGTTAATTGCTTGCTTGTTTACCATGGGGTATAGAACTTTTAACTTGGGTTCAAACAAGAAGTTTTGTTCAAATGTAGTTATGCAGTTTAATAACTTGTTTATTAAACAGCATGAAATACCAAGAACATATAAATAGATAATACGTCTTTGGAAATACATAGCAGCGTGTTCAAGCAACAGACTAAAGAAAAACTGTGAGGAAGATAAAAGAAAAACTGTGAGGAAGATAAAAATTCAATTCAAATTCTACCTATTTTAAAAAAGCATATTTTGTTTTTATTTCATTTCTACAAACGAAAGTTTATCTTGACAAGATTTAAAAAACAAATTTACAGAAAGTATTGAAAAAATGGGATCAAATCAAATGGTTTAGAGTTTTTAAAATTCTTTAAAACTTTAAAAAACTTTTTTTTTAAGTTGTAAAGAATTTTGAACACGATTTAAATATATACTGTATTAATATATATAAATATAATTTTTAGCTAATCAAGAAACTTTATTTAGTTGAAAAAAAAACATTTTACTCTTACATTTATGTAAAATGAAATGCAAAATATGCAAATATGGAGTTCTTTATGAAAATAGAAATATGATAGATAATAGAAAAAATACTTAATTAAAAAAACCAACCAATGAGAACAACTAAAAAACAACTTGAAACAACATGAATTTTCTTTCAAATCCTCTTCCGCGGTGCTCTGTGATAAGACCGTTCTTTTACCTAAAATAAGATTTAAAAAAAAAAATTACGGTTCAGTGAATTACGTTTTATCGATAAGTGATATTTTTAATAAGCGATATTCTACGAATCGTTAATTCTACGAATCGTCTTCCTGTATATCATAAGTTTAATATAGTTTATTTAATAAATACATTTGTGTTAGAAAAGATTTTGTAAATGGATTTTTGAAGAGACATCCAGACCTTTCACTAAAAAAGCCAAAAATTGTTATTTTTAAATCTTGTTTATTGGTTAAACCATATTCTGTGATTTTGTAATATAGAAATTGTTACAGCAAGTTTATATATATATATATATATATATATATATATATATATATATATATATATATATATATATATGCGTTTTTGCAGCTTTTTCAACAAGAACGATAAAGTTGCGTTTTTGCAAAGATAAATTTTAATTTGTTTCCTCGATTATTCTAATGGTTTTCACATAAAGTGTTCCTAATTTTGAAACTAAGAACCATTAAGAGCCTTTTTTACCATAAACGGTATAGAATAGTTGTTAGTACAAGTTATATTTTTAACTTTTTCTGTTTTAATATGACATACGAATTTTACAACTTCGTACTTTATAAAAAAGTAAGTAAAACAAATAGGGGCTCAATGAAGATTAATTTAAGACTTTGTGTATTGACGTAAGAGCAAACTCGATACATCAAACCTATGAATTTGGTGGTTTTGGATATATATTATATGAAGAAGCCAGGATAACTTTTTATCAACAATGATTCCAAAGAATCTTATAGTGGATTCCTTTTTAAATAGTTTATCGTTTAGGAATAGGTTAGGCAACTTGAGATAAAGATTTTCCTCTTGTGTTTTTTTATGAAATAGTATATACTTTGTTTTCTTAACATTAAGCGAGAGTTTGTTAGCCTTAAACCAGTTGTTTATTTTATCTAGTTCTATATTCATGTCCGCATTTAATTTTTTGATATCATTGTTGGTGAGAAAAAGATTCGTGTTATCTGCAAACATGACTAAATTCAGTTTTAAGGATGCATTACAGAAGTCATATTTATATATATATATATATACATATATATATATATATATATATATATATATATA